CTGATCGGAAAACGGCTTGGGGGGATGAAAGTATATAGTCTAAAGTACAAAAAAACGTGAAAAAAAAATTTGATTTTTTGAAAAAAAAAAAGATCGGGAATACCCCCTTAAGAACGTCTGCATATCGACGTTTAATATTAAACCAAAAAATAATTTAAAAGCAAACTAATTAGCAAATCATTCACCTTAACCAAATTCTGATCGAAAATATCACGATTTTAGCTTATCTTTCGATTTGATTTCATGAGTGTGACTTGGAACAATAAACTGTCAAAGTATGAACTTTGTATGATATTGCTATCATTATATAACCACAGTGTGAATATTTCAAAATAAATTAAATATATCAAAATACATTTATTATGTATTTTATTCAAGGGGCAATACCCGCAAAATTAAACTCAACCTGAGCAAAGTTTTATGCATTTCAGGTTAAATCACTAAAAGTGAATCAACACACATAAGAAGCTTAAACAATTGAAATAAAACAATATTTTACTATCTTTGTATGACGCTCCATTAATGTGAATCAAATTAAAAATTAAAAGTATAATAGTTATTTAACTTATTTCTGAAATTCATAACGGATCGATTGCAATTAGCCGTGGCTATTTTTATTACTCAATTCCCGAAAGTGCCTCGCACTCACGATCCATCCAATCTGCCAGCACCCAGACGCCGAAAACATATTTGACTGTGCTTGTGCAAGTGAATTTACCCGTTTCCCATCAACTTCAATTAATTAATCTTTATTTTTACGATTGCAAATTCTGACCGTATACCCACCAACTCGCTGCTCTCGTTTTTACGTGGCTTGTTTCGTCCAACTCCAGTTGTTCATCAATTCGGAGAAATTCTCTTTCCGATACTTGCAGCGCAGCAAGCGATACGACCAAGGACGTGCTTATTAACTTTATTCCTTGCATTCGGAGCGCCGTCAGCTCCGTCGTCGTGGTTACAGTTTGCGATAAAATTTTATTGTCGTTGCTGCACAATTTCATTCCGAGGCTTGTTTACCTTTGGAATGGTTGGAATTGGTTGTGTCTGTGTAATTGTTGGGCTCCGTGTTCAGTGATAAACAACATCCATGTCAGAATCGTCAGAACTGGTGCCATCGTTTCCGTCCGAAATCCAAGCAACCATAATGATGATTAACCTTGCGAATTTGGCGAGCGCAGTTACAGATTTGTCCATTATGCTCCGGATTGGTTTACCAAACTTCGGGGTGGTCATAACGCGAGTGTGAACAGCAATAAAATTATCATTACTTTTGCGATTTTTACTGAATTGCTAATCATAAAGTATAATTTGGGCAATTTATTTCCGAGCGGTCGGCTAAAGCTCAAAAAGGGAGCAGCAGAAAAAAACGAAACGAAACGAGGTCAATCTTTTCATGTATGCAACATTGTGTTTGCATTTCGCTGGTGGACTTTGTTGCATTTCTGCAGCAACATGTTTATGATCGCTGGGAGAAATCCGTCCCTATATCCGCAGCCTGATTGATGTTTACGATGGAAGCGGTGATTGCCCTTAACATCGTGCAACTTCCGCGCAAGGCTATGGTTGTGAAATTCAGTGTCTTGAGGTTTAGTTGGGAAATATCCCTCGGTGCCAAAAACAAAAGGAACACCGACAAAGATGAAGATTTTGAACAAGGAAAATGGCTGTACAAATAAAATAAGGTATACTTAGGTTTGGAGATAAGTCTGATAAGTGGAGATGAGTTTGGAATCTTCAAGAACACGATCAGTGGCATACCGAGAAAGGTTCAGAGGACTTGAAAGTATGGTTTATGGACATTAACCCTCCGTTACTCGCACTGCTGTACTTTGTACAACACATATCAGTTTTCCATTGCCATTTTGTTGTTGAGCTACCAATCGATATGAAACCAACGTGTATTCCTTAAAAAAAAAACCTGAATTGAACAAAACATGCAAATTTTTTTTCCTTGATTTTGAATTCCGTCGATGTTGTTTTACGTACTGAGTTCCAATGATACCGACACCAGGGAGGCAGCTCCCACACCTCAACTCTACCTATCGACCCATCAACTCATGAACCGGGGACCAACGGCTTCACTTTCCTTCCGAAGGAGATTTTATGCCTCATAAAATTCCTGCGGCGCCAACTGGGATTTAACCCAGACCTTTTAGGTTAGAGGCAATCACGCTAACTACTACACCACCGGCGCCACTAAGCTAAATTTTGATTGCAGTTAACTCACAAGCAATGCGGATAATAGGGAAAATGTAAATGGAAACCACGTAAACAGTGTTCATACTACGCACGTGGGATTTTACTTAATTGGTTACTGCATGAAATATCTCGAGATCCTCACGAAATAGCAATTTACTGTCTTGGGCAAAGTTGTTCAGGAGGGCTCAGATTCTTTGTTTGACCGTTCAACTGGCAGCAGTACCAGCGCTGGCTGGACACAGCAATCGACTACGACGTCCTACCGGAGTCGTTCGAATAAGTCGATCGGTGTCTGCAAACCATAGAAGAGGCGATATCCCGTTCCAGGGAGCAACACGTACCAGCATCCAGACTGGTGAGTCATACTCTGAACCTTGACAGCCCAACCAAAGACCTTATCAGGCTCCGTAACACCATTCGTAGGCAGTTCCAGCGTTCTGGGCTGCCCCATTTGAAGACCAATGTCAATAGGCTAACCAAAATTATCCAGACCAGGATGGTGGAACTCAGAAATAACGATTTTGCCAACAAGATTCGCTCTCTCCCAGATTGTGCAAAACCATTTTGGAAGATGACCTAACTTTTGAAAAGTATGTCGAGACCGATCCCTCCACTTTCCTCTGTTGACCAGAACTTGAACCCATTTCTTCTCATAACCCCAGTTGGAAAGGCCAATGCTCTTGGCCAACATTTTATGATTTCACATAATCTTGGTTAAACCATGGTGAGCCCCCATGGGCCTGCCATACTCGAGGCAATGTCTAGAGTCACTGACACCCCAGTAGTAGTGCATGATGATAGTAGAATATTGGCGGATGAGGTGATAGCAGCTATTCGAAGCACTAAAAACATGAAGGCCGCGGTTAAGGATGGAGTGGTCAACCTCGAGTTGAAAAACTTGAGTATTGACTTCTTCAACCATCTTACCATTATCTTCAACAAATGTTTGGAGCTTGGCTACTTCCCTACATGCTGGAAGTTAGCCAAAGTGATTCCAATACACAAGCCTGGCAAAGATCCTACCAGTGCCAAAAGCTATCGCCCCATCAGCCTCATTGTCATCCATCTCGAAGCTATTCGAAAAGTTGATACTCAGCCGTCTGCTGGTGTTTTCAAATGATAATAACATCTTTCTCAAAGAGCAATTCGCGTTTAGGAAAGGCCACTCTTCCATCCACCATTTCGCACGGGTTACTAACATCATCAAGCGGAATAAGTCCGTTTCCAACACATCTGCCATGGCATTGTTGGACGTCGAGAAGGCGTTCGACAATGTACAAGCTGCATCGATACAATTTCCCGATCTTCCTTGTCAAGATCATCAAAATCTACTTGTCGGGCAGATCATTCCAGGTCTACTTGAACAATGTCCTCTCTGATACGTTCAACGTTGATGCTGGGGTCCCTCAGGGCAGACGTTCCTCCCCTGGCGGGTGGTGGTATCCAATGTTCGCAGATGACACCTCCATCATCTATAAGGGTCGAGTGATCCGTGCTCTGGCGTGTAAACTACAATCAGGCTTAGATGTTCTGTCCGACTATTTCAAGAGCTGGAAGATTTGTATCAATGCAGCTAAAACACAAACCATTGCGGCAAAAATGAAGCTTCCCCCACTGGTGGTGAAGAAAGTGCTACCCAACACCCTCATTGGCGGTTTCACATCGCTGGGCGTCGTATCAAGGTCATGCTCCGTGCGAAAGCGGAGTAGGAAGTGGCTGTGAAACACCTGAAAGATTCCAAGGCGAAATTTTTCACACATGAAATCCCCGGTGAGAAGCCCTTCAAGGTAGTCATCATGCGCCTATCAAACTTCAACCCCAAGATGAGCGAAGTGGAAATCAAGGACTGGTACAAGCTGGCCTTAATCGCTGTCTTCCGAATGACGAGAAGAGACGAAAACTTGAAGACGTACCCGGATTGCCTTTTCCTGGTGAACTTCCAGAAAGGGACGGTGACGCTAAATGCACTGCAAGCCATCCGCTCAATCTTCTCCATCATCGTACGATAGAAGCCATACCGTGATGGCCATCGTGACATAACGCGAGGACTTCAAAGGCATCCAAAAGCATGCGGCAACCATTAATCAACCAGGACGCAAGAAGGACAAAACCCCGACATTCGGGACGGAGGATTTACCGCCTCGTCGTGCTCCTCGGCAAAGGCAAGCGAATTCGAGGGTGAATCCCACTCCCCCTCAAAAAACGTCTGGATCTTTTGCTGGACAAAGCTCTCCATCCCCCTTGGATTCTGGAGACAATCAACAGCGCAAAACAACAACCCCGATCTGTTCTCAACGAATGAACTGATGGAAATCTTCGTCAACATGACCGGTGCTCTTCATAAGTGCCGCAATAAGCCCGAACAGATGCAAGTCATCGGTAAATTCATCATCCAGTATGGCGTCTAAACCGCCAACTATCATCACCTGGAATGCTTGCTCTGTAAGAGCAAAAAAGATTGAGCTTGCCGACTTTCTCCGCAAGCACAGCATCGACGTGGGCCTTCTAACCGAGACCCACCTCAAGTCCGGCGACAACATTATCCGGCTTGATCGCACCAGCACCAGGGGGGTGGTGTTGCGGTCGTCGTCAAGAAAAGATTGAAGTTCTACAACCTGCCTTACATCCAATTATCGAGGCTCTTAGTGTAGAGGTCGAATCACCAACTGGAAATGTTCGGTTTATCGCTGTTTACTGCCCTCGGCAGTGTGCCGCCAACAACGGATTAGCAAGCAAATTCAAGGACGACCTGACCGCCATCATTCGTTCTAGTTGCCGATTCATCGTTGGGGGTGACCTGAATGCCCGTCATGAAGCATGGCGGAACTATCGGACTATCCAAGCCGGAGGTGCACAACGATCTCAGTTCCGACCACCAACTGGTGGTGGCTGAAGTCGGCATCAACGTGGCTCCAGCTGCAAGCCAGCGTAAAGACTACCACCACATCAACTGGGTGCAGTGTGGACGTGTGGTTGGCAGAGGCATCGACGAAAATCCCCCGCTTGGCACCGTAGATTACATCGACCGGGCGTTGGAAGGACTCCAACAAGCCATATCCGTGGCTGCCGAGGCATGTGTTCGACAAGTTCCTGTGAGGGGTAAGTTTGTTGCTATTGATTCCCACACCCAATTACTGATCCAGTTTCAGAGGTTTTTCCGATCTGAAATGGCCGATCTGAACAGGCATATTGCTTCCAGAATGGACTCACTCCGAAATGAAAATTTCGGGTGTGTTATCCAGAATCTGGTCATTCTGGAAGGTAACCAAAGTCCTGAAAACTCATCCCATACCCGTTCCACTTCTCAGAGACGAAAATTATGACGATCGGCTTTTAATCACCTCCACAGGAGAAAGCAAATGCGGTCGGCGAGCATGTCGCTTCATCGCATTTGCTTGGCTCGACTATCCAAAGTCCGCTCGATTATCAGGTTGCTCAATGCGTTCAAAACCTAGATGCCTCCCCTTGTGGCGTTCCTCATTCTCAATCGTTTGCTATTGTTTGTCGAGGAAAACAACGTTCTCCTTCCAGAACAGTTTCAGTTCAGGAAGGGACACTAACAAAACTGTAACCAAGTCCAATTCGTGGCCTTGCTAGACGTTGAAAAGGCGTTTGACAATGTTTGGCATGATGGACTTGTGTACAAGCTTTGTAACTTCAACTTCCAATTGCATCTGCATCTCTCCATCGGCAACCGCCCAAACATAAACCGGCTCCATCTTGTACTGTAATCATGGATGGCACAAGGGTTGAGTGGTCTGCCGAAGTTACATACCTTGGAATGGTATTCGATGAGAAGGTACTGTTCCGCTCGCACATAGAAAAGACGTTAGTTAACAGTTCAAGCTTAGTTAGGTGTTTGTATTCGCTGATTTGTCACAATCAAATCATAGCACCTGCAATTTTCTACGCTGTACCAGTGTAGGATTCAAGTGCTCAAACTCACAGGAACAAAGTCCAGGTGGCACAAAACCGAGTGCTTAGGATGATCCCCGATCGTCCTTTCGACACTAGAATAACAAATTTACACGGAGAGGCAGGCATTTGCAGCGATTTCGGTCTTCAATCGCTCCAGTAATGCACAGTAATACTCGCTGTTGATGGTTTTTTTTTTCCTTTTTCGAGATAGTCCTGAAGAGTATGCCATGACAATCCCAGAAAACCGACACCATAGCCTTTCCGACCCATCGAGCCTCCCTCGGCCGCTTTGGAGCACTCGTACCGGCTTCAGTCCATTGCCGGGCACTCATTCTGTTCTCTGGAGTGTAATAGTGGATCCAGGTTTCATCAACAGTTACCAATCGACGCCAAAAGTCCACCCGATCCCGCATCAGCAAGTCCAAACACTCTTTCGAAGTGCCCTCGTGTTCGTATTTTTGGTCAGGAGTGAGCTTGCACGGCACCCAGCGGCAGGATAACTTTTTCAAACTGTCAAAAAAAAAACTAAAGACAGTATCGCACTAAAATTTGGCCTGTCTGCCTAAATATGAACGGAATACAAGGCACCATAACCTTTTCTGCAATAGCAGCGCATTCTGGTGGTGAAGAAGAATACTTTACACCCCACCTAGTATATTCGCTCTCTTATTTGTGGAGAGTCGATCGCATGATGTCGGGGATAAGCAGGAAAACCAGTGAACCGGAAAATCGGGAAAAAGCCGAGCATTAAAAGTCACTGGGTAAAACCTGTGAGTTTATATGACAAATTGGGGTAAAAATATCAACTGTTATTGTTATTGTTTTTCTAGAAAACAAAAAGATTTTGGGCCTAGGAGAAATCATAAGGCGCTACAGGATGGGTCACTGAACTTCAAGGCACCTCAATTCTCGTCAGGTAAATCGAGCGAACTTTTTAAAGGTTCTGATAAATCCAAGGAAGTCTAGAGAACATTGTTAAAGTTCTGAGATCTTAAGGGTAGTTCAAATTATTTCAAAGAAGTACAAACAATTTCAGAAAAGTCTGGACTTTCAGGGAAGTGTAAAGATCTTGAAAAATAAGTCGTTATGTTAAAACAAATTTATTACAGTTTTATCATCGCCAACGTTTTGATGCCGGAGTTGGGATCTTCATCAGGGTTAAAGGCTGACTAAAAGCAAATTGGTAAGCACAAAAAAATCTGTAATTCACGATTCAATAAGTTTAAAAAGTCCATTAATGGTTGCTTTACAGTACTTTCATTAAAACTTCAAAGTTACAGCATTAGATGGTTACATTTCTCCAGTGCTAACGAAATCTCGAACCTTCTTCTTGATGCAGCCCATCAGCGCCCGCACAGTGGAAACGGACACGGAATCAGCGAATTTCTTCCATTTTACCCGCATTTGCTCGATGTCCGCTTCGTCGAAGTCGCTGCTTTGAAATTGCCCATTTTTTTTTTTTTTAGATTGGTCGAAATTCCGGAAATTTGGAGGACCTTGGAGTAGTGGCAGCTGGCCAAATCGGGCGTAAATATGACTTTGCCCCAATGCTTTCGGATGAAAGGTAATACACGCTTTTTCAGGCATTCTTCGATGTAAACTTGGGATGTCATCGTCGAGGATGTGACGAATGGTTCTCAGGCCACAACTGCAAATCATGGCCTTCTTCGCGAACTTTCGGTGAATACACCACAAATACGAACTTTAATCTTCCCGGCACATCCCCACGTTCAGTCGCGATGTAAAACTTTTGACCGGGAAGCTGCTTAAAATCGAGTTTGACGTATGTTTCGTTGTCGATCAAAGTGCAGTCCTTGCACGGAAAAACGAGTTTATGCATTGATGACTATTTTTTTAACCACTTTTGGGAGCTTGTTCGAGCTGTCATAGAGTGGTTGAAATTTATAGCAAAAAAGTGTATTGAATTTAGACATTTTCAGAGAAAACCATTTTTCAACAAAAGTGTTTAAATTTTATTCACTGGTGGCTGAAAAAAAACTTGGGGACAATTATTTTCCGAAAAGCAGCGGCCATCATTAGCTAGTGAGCTGCAGATTCAGCTGCTACAAGCGTTGTCCGGTACGGTTGGACATGCCAACTGGAATATTCTGTCGCCGTGTGGGATCAGGCCAAAGAGATGGCCGGTGCTAATAGTAAGTATATCTACACAGCAAAAAAAAAATTACTATCGATCAACGTAATTCAAGCTGATGTATGAAATAATGATGTAATAGCAAAAATCAGATACAATATTACATCAATGGATGTAATTTTGTTCGCAAAATCGGTATACATTGTACAACGTCATATTACACCACCAGCGGAATTACCTCTGTGCAGCTGTTTGGATGAGATTTTGTAACTTTTGATCCCCATTACAGAGGGCTTCAATCGGCAGCACGACGATCCGAATCTACTCTCATTATTTTGTAACTTTTGATCTCCATTACAGGGCTGCCAGCGGCACCACGACGATTCGGATCGAGTTCGTCGGGCAACGCAACGGAATGGTTGCCGAGCACGACACGGGAAGGTCGACGAAGGAATCGTGAAAAGAAACATCCGAGTTCCACCTGGACGGACGGGATGTCGAGCGATGACAAAATGGCCGACATTGTAGTGTCTTGAAAACTTGAGTTAAATGGTGTGATCTTGCTCTGCCCAGATGTACCTTCTTATTGTTTTTATTGTACAAGAAATAAATATTACTTTTTGTTGATTTTTATTTGAATGTAATTGTTTGTATAATATGTTGAAAATACACGAAACCAACCATTTAAAATCGTTCCGGTGTATAAAATTTAACCACTTTTGAGAAAATCGCCTTTACTCATTAATGATTAAAATTTAATCACTTTCGAGAAAAACGCGTTTATTCATCCGATGAGTAAACAGCGTTTATTCATTTTATGAATATGTGCGGGTTTTCTCGAAACTGTTTAAAATTTAAACATTAATGCATACTTTTGACGTAGGACTACGTCTGTGATTTCTATATGGGGGTACACTTTGTGAAAACCGAAAATGGAACATGTAACGTAAATTCCCAAACAGGGACGCAGCGACAGAGCGCCAATCGAACACACGACACATTTTTGCTTTGACTTCGTTCACATTCTGATTTCGACCAAGTTCCCTTCGCCGATTTCAGCTGTGAACGATTGCAAAAACAGCAAACTGATCGCAGTCACTTTGGTGCTTTGTGCTGCTTCTAACTTGGGTAGTAAAAAATAAAGTAGGGGTTATTTTCCAAGAGTCGAAGTGACTTTTTTCACTAGTGAAGTGAGAAAAGACACGTCGTGGTGACGTTACTCTCCATTTGATTTCCACAGAGAGTCACGTCACCACGACGTGACTTCTCTCACTTCACTAGTGACAAAAGTCACATCGATTCTCGCTATCGCTCATTCTGGAATTTCAATATGCAGGAATATGGGAAAATCGGCTTCTATGCAGCAGCTGTGGCATGCACAGCGCAAACAACCAAAACAAGCTAGAATGAAACATTGAAACGTCCGTCGCTGCTGTCAGAGATGCCAGATTCACAGACATGTCTGTGAATTCACAGACTTTTATTTTTTTCACAGACTTTTTTTTCGTTACAGACATTTACAGACTTTTTAGTTTTTTCACAGATATTTACAGACTTTTGAAATGAAGGGAAAAATTTAAAATTTAGTTACCTTTTTATTAATAGCTTTGAACGTATACGCGTAAATGGATGCATTCCCAACTCCAATTAGGTTTAATTCGTTAAAAGCAGGTCTGTTTAGCTTGAACATGACTTTTACTGACATTTCAAATTTCACATCTATTTCATGACCCCCCCGTCACACGCAAAACTTCTGCTAATTTAATAATTTTATACATTTCTGAAATTCAAAAACATTTTTCGCAGACTTCTGAAAAAAAAATCTGGCATCTCTGCTGCTGTACATGTTAATGCATAAAACGTACAAGATCACGCAATTAATCATATGATTTGAGTAGTAGCTATACTGAAGATTCGAGAGATGTCACCCCTTCATTGGTAGGAAAATCATTTTTGCAGTATGGAGGATATCAGAAAATCCACGATTTGTGACTAAACATGCTTTCACAGATGAAAATAAATCAACGAGTGTTTACCTTATCACCATAGTAATGTACTCGTGCAATTTTTGTGCATCTAATACTGCTCATAAAGACGATAATGAATAAAAACTGAAAATTTTCATGCATTTCCAAATGGTTTCCTACCATTCCCATACATCCGAAAGTGACTGGCCCTCTGGATGTGGATGATGGTAAAAACATGCATAACAAAACAGGACGACATACGATCCCTTTTCAAGCCTTGTCTGCAACTGTACGCGCGCGCTAGATAACAGTTTCTTTTATACTCGCAGAATAGCCAATGAAGCCCCTCCCTCTTAGAATATTTTGCGTCTTACTTCATTATGTTGTTACTTCCCTGTAGCTATCAGATGTGCGCACGCACAGTATAAATTCAGTAGGCAAAGGGAAATCGATATCAGTTCTGATTACGCTCTCGCTGTGTGTGATCGTGGAATAGCTGGATATTTTTGAGAAAATCAAACTGTGCCATGTCGCAATACGATTCTGCGCTGTACATGCGCAATCTTCGAAAGCGATTGAGGGGGCAAGGAGCAGAGGACATCCCGAAGCGACCCAAAACTGCTGCCGAACGAGTTCGCTGTTTTCGGGCCAAAAACAAAACAACTGTATCTAATGCGTCATCAACTATCGCTTGGGACGCTGGCGAAGGGTCTTCAACTCGAGGTAGGAAATCTTGATTATTTATTAGCCGCCGTAACAAATATGTATTTATGGTAGCAAAGTTCTACTTCTGTTACCGTTCAATACCATTCCGATTTGGAGAATCTGGCAAATGTCTTCTTACAATTTAATTTATAAACATCGACGTTGGCATCATATCAACCTTTTATTTGTTGAATGTATTGCGATCATTATAGTAACCCTTTCACGAATGAACTTTTAAGCTGTTAGTAATCGCTGTTTTTGATGAACCCTCTCTTGCACTTGAAAAGTAACGTTTCTGTGTGATTTAAACATTGTTTTAAATGTTCGATGCAATCAAGCTTTAGTTATTTACTGTTCTCAATATTGATAAACAAAAGAAAGTATGGATTTTAATTTCTAGAATTGATCAGCGAACCTATAAATTACTTGAGAACAATATTCGATTATGTGATTATATCAGATACGATTCTATACTATTTCCTGGAAATCATTGCACGGATATCTCGCTTCCCGGGTAGTTGATTCGGATGATAACCCTATTGTAAGATTGTCATTTCACGGAACGACGCATTTAGTTCTCAGCATTATTCTGACATTAGGTCGACATTGGTTCTTAATTAAACTTTGATGTGAAAATGATGTCAGCCCAACGTCTAAATGGAATATACTGTAAACCGTTTATTTTTCTTCAACCCAGCATTACCCCACCTTCAACTTGACGTAATCTGATATCAGCCCTAACTAAATCCGACATAAACCTGACAATAGCATAACTATAACATTTATCCAACATTGGTTTTGAATGATCTTTTTCCCAGTTTCATGCCGTCTACATTTCATGTTTTTGGTAAAAGAATGTTCAGGAAACCGGGTTATTCCGAGAAAAGACATTCCGGGAAATGTCAAAATCACAGCTCCGACAATAAAATTTCTTGTTATGAACTGGGGGGGGGGAGGTGATGGCCAATCAGCCTACTGCTCATTCTTGTATGAAATTGGTTCCAAACGTAAACAAGCCCTGTAGGTTTCATATGGCTTGTTTACGTTCGGAACCAGTTATGCGAGGTAGGCGACGATTGTTCGTATATGACAGCCACCTCCCCCCCTTGGTTATGAAGCATTATCAACAGAAGGGATGTTATTTACAGTGAAGTTCAATATTCTGGAGTGATTTTTCAATAGGTCGCAAGTATCACTTTGCCTCAGCTGAGAAAATCCAATTATTTTATTTCGATTTTTCATGGATTCTGCTGCATTTTACTAATAATTCATAATGCATAGTTATTGAGAAATGATCGATTTATATATTCGATACATATTGAAAAGGTTCATTTAAAAATTTTATCCAGCCACTTATAAGAAGCTTTTCATAAACTACGCAGACAGTGTATGGGGGGGTTTGGCAATTGTTCACGGTTCATACAAATTTTAAGAATTGTGTATGGACAATTGTCTACGCATGGGGAGGGGGGTCAAGAATACCAAAAACTGTCTACGTAGTTAATGAACAGCCCCTAAGGGAATTGGAAAAGAAGATAGATTAGTTATCGATCTGCCATCGTCCAAAGCACTGAATTCTCATCAAGTGAATGAGCGAAAATGATTTGTTTAATGATGTTGAAAAGTTTTTTTGTACAAACAAATGGGTCACCAAATGAAATTTATCTGTATTTATCTGTCAAATCTGTCAATAGGTGCAGTGTGATTAATTATGTTCTTGATACTTCATAATCTATATGCTGTGCTCCGTGGTCGAGTTATCTAACAGCGCAAAGCGTTTTGGATAAAACCGGTGACAATAGTTATTTTTCGATCAGTGGTGACACGAGTCATGGAGTTTGACTTTTTTTCCTTAACATTTGATACTTTTCGCAATGACCATTGTGTCGACACACTCAAACGAACTGGCAAGCGGCAAAAATGTCATTGCTTCTTAACTGAAGCAATGAAATTGGGTTGTTAGCGGAATGATTTAAATAAAACAGCAAGTAAAGGTTATCTTCCCTTTAATTCCACTTAATTAATTTTGGTATCCATGACAGATACGTATTTCGACTACAATGTGCAGTTTTCATCAGTGTCGATTCCACTTAAAATCAAATGGAAGATAACCTTTACTTACTGTTTTATTTCTAAACTGTTTTCTGCCAGCGACAGAACATTTTTGCACAAAGAAGCAGACAAGACCGGCTGCGGGCGCGACATAAATTTATGTCAAGTAGAATGTTGCTGATTTCTTGCTGCATTTATTTGATGTTTATTGAATGGAATTAAAAGATGAGAATGAATACTAACCACTCATAAGCATAGATGTTAAAATTAGCGTAAATAAGGGAGTTGGTTATTTACTGTCACATGCAAGCTTGCAGCTAAAATGTCATTACAATAAACTGCACAGCAAAAAATTAATTTTGATATCACATGGATGCACTTCAATCGTTTCAAAAATATGGTGTAATAATACTTGCCAAAAAGGGCAAAATTATCATTAATACAGTACATGAACTGACATTACGCTGCTTTTACTGCATTTGTTTATTTTTGTGGCCATAAAAATTACATGAGATTTTCGACATGATTGAAGCGTATCCTAATGGATTTAATATTAAAATTTATTTTTTGCTGTGTGTTTGGAAAAAATAGGCTGCGACATTTGATTTATTCTCTATCTCCGTGGTTTGCAATGTAGTTATACACGACCGCCCGAGGGGCACGCACTAGACTATCAATACTACGCAGCCTGCTGACAAAATATTTAAAATCTTGCCATTACTGCATTCATTACTTTAAATACACTCTTAATTTCCATAAATACCAGCAGAATTTTAAATTTAAATTATTTTCAATACATTTAAATTATTTTTAATTACATTCATTATCATTAATTATTTGTTGATTACTTTCAATACCGCTAAAAGTATTTAAATTCAAATTATTACTGTCATCAAAGTATTTAAATTACTGCGATGTATTTTAAATATCACGCACTCATACCTGGAAGTGCGCGCCCCTCGCGACCGCCCATGTGCTGGTTGTACAACATTATATTTACACTATGAGCAATATATTCGAAATAGAATATGCATTTTCACAGAATATTTTATCAACTTCAAATATGAAGAGCTTTTGAGTGTGTTGATTTATTTCCTTTTAATTCCGTTATTAATTGCTTATCTTTTGACAGATACGCGTATTTCGTCTACTACTTGCAGACTTCATCAGTGCCAAGTGATCAACACCACTTCACTTGGCACCAGTGTGGTCAGTTCTACGGATTTATCCGTAGATCTACGGATTTTTAGGTTTCCTACGGATCTACGGACCGACCATAACATTCTACGGATTTTCCAGATATCTACGGATTTTTTTAATAGCGCCGTAGTAATTCTACGGATTCTCAAAATTTTAGCTCACCCCCCGCTCACCACTTTCATTTTTTTTTTTACTTTTTGAATGGCGGTTTTTGGGAAATGGTCATAAAATTTAGCAAGAATTAACGCAAAGGAAACAAATTTACTTATCTACTGATTGTACTCGATGAAAAGTTAACAACACTACTTGGCACTGATGAAGTCTGCAAGAAGTAGACGAAATACTAAATATCTGTCAAAACATAAGCAATTAATAACGGAATTAAAAGGAAATAAATCAACACACTCAAAAGCTCTTCATAAAGGGATTCCGTTAAGAGGTTCGACAAAATTAATATATTGAACTTCAAATAGTTGGATTTGTAATTTCAAATGGTTTTATTTGTACTTAAAACCATTTGAGGGTTTAGGACAAAGGAATGTTGCTTTTTCAAATGTGTGTTTTAGTGTTTCCTCCGCCGCGTTCTGTTGTTGAAGAAACAAACAGAGTGCAAGGCATCGTCGATGAACCAGGTGACAATTGTTTTATTCTGCCGACTTTGTTTAACAATGAAGCTGCTTTCGCCGGTGATGCTGTAGTCATGGAACATTTCCCCGATACGGTCATTATCTCTCCATCGCTTTCCGGTTTCGAAATACAAGCCGATATTGCCACGCCGTTGGAGACTATGGAAATCGATACATCGTTTCCTGAGCATTCAAGTCAGGGTGAGTAAAACCTTAAACTTCATAGATTTTTGACGAAAAGTAATCTCAAGTGCATTCGTTACGTAATTGAGGCGAAAATGTCAACGTGCATACAAAATAATTATGTTATTGTTATTATTCCTTTTTAGAGTCTATTTTACCACCAAATTTTGATCGCGCTAATCGTGAGTTCACGAAGCGGTTCATCGATAACGTGTTCGGTGCTGTATGCGACATATGCGACAGACTATGGTTTACCAATGATTTGAAACCATTGACAGAAGTGGGTGCGGCTGCGTTGGTTGACAGTGGATCTTTTCAATCCGTTGAAGGATTTTTGGCTTGCCAGACTTGCCAAAGCAATCTGAAGCGAGGAAAAGTTCCGGCTTTCGCAAAATCGAACGGTTTCGCATTTCCAGACAAGCCATCTGGACTGCCACCACTTGATGTCGTCACGGAACGGTTGGTATCCCCTCGGTTGCCATTCATGCAAATCCGCCGATTGCGATTTGCAGCAGGTAAAATGAAATTGCAATGCTTGATGACTTATAATTTATCAACTATGTTTTCAATTACAGGCAGCTATTCTATTATCGGGCAAGTGATCAATTGTCCCGTGGATGTTGCACAAATGGTACACTCTCTTCCCCGTCAGCTCGATGATGATCAGGCCTTCAACGTGTTCATCAAAAAGCACGTAATTCATAAGTCATCGTACTTGTCCGGCTTTATAAAGAAAACTACGGTTAAAGCGTGGCTTTCTTATTTGATTACGACACCACTGTATCGCCACTACGGGATCACAATTGATCAGATCGCCATAGATGATCTTGAAACCCCTGCAGTGGATCCTCAAATTGAGCTGGAAACCATTGCCGTGGATAACGAGACCGAATTGCTGCTCGGGCAACAGGAAACGCTCCTTTGGAATGAGGACAAATGCCTGGAGATCGCTCCCGCGCAAAACAGGGTTCCTCTGTCATTGATTTACGACGAGCACGGTGAAGAGCTAGCTTTTCCTGCCATATATTTCGGCCATCCACGGAAATTCAAGCCAGGTGTTCGGGTGACATATTTCATGATGGCATCCAGTGAAACTCGTCGCCGAGACAGGCGTGGGGCCAAACCACAACATTTGTTGTATATGGCAATGAAAGTTCTTCGCCTTAGAGTTTCCGAAGGCTTGCAATGCACTTTTAAGTGCATGGGGACCGCGAATATTACACGTGCCAACCTTAAGGACCGCGAATTCATGGAGCAGTGCATTGATCGAAATCTATCCTTCCTCAAGTCAATACCGAATTCAGTACAGTATTGGCAACAAAGGAAGAGAGATTTGTTCGCCATGATGCGACAATTGGGAAAGCCTACGATGTTCCTCACACTCAGTGCAAATGAGATGAAGTGGCCCCATTTGTTGAAGCTCCTACATCGATTGTCAGAGGGACACAATGGCAATGACTTAACAGATCCTATCCAGGAATTGACTGCATTACAAAGAGCAACTCTGGTCAATGACGATCCAGTCACGTGCTGTGTGTACTTCAACAAGCTGGTTGACACTATCATGCTCCTGCTGATGTCGCGGCACTACAGTCCATTCGGAAAGCACTATGTGGCCGATTATTTCAAGCGGATTGAATTTCAGCACCGTGGAAGTCCTCACGCGCACATCTTGCTATGGCTGAACAAGGATCCCCGGGAAGCAATCAGTGAAAATATGCCAAAAACCGTACAGCTGATTAAAGATCTCTGTTCCGTTAGCGTCAGAGATTTGCCGAATACTTACGGGTATCAAGTAAGATCAATGTTATTATGTATTTAATATTAGTTTAAAATTATCTATTTATTAAACCTTTTATTATTATAGGTCCATAAGCATACTTTCACATGTTTCAAGCGGAACGAAAACCACTGTCGGTTCAATATTCCGTACTGGCCGATGGATCGGACACTAGTTTTGCTTCCGATTGCGTCCGATGATAGCCGCAGGGATCGGCTCACCCGGAAAGCCAAGATAATGCGAGAGGCTCTGGAAACGAAAACATATGATACATTGGAAGCATTTCTTAGCGATTGTAATTGCACTCCTGATTGTTATCTAGCCGTCATTGGAGTATCAATTCGCCGTCCAACAGTCCTGTTCAAGCGATCCATGAATGAACTATGGACAAACCCATTCAACCCGTGGATAGCAAGCCACCTCGGCTCGAACATGGACTTGCAATTCATCCTGGACGAGTACACCTGCGCTGCGTACGTGGTTGAATACGTAAATAAGACCAACCGTGGAGTGAGCTGTCTCCAGCGGGATCTCATCAAGCTGCAAGAAGAGTTCCCTGATCAAGACTTCACCGCTCTCTTGAAGAAGGTCAGCATCAAGATGCTGAATTCTGTGGAGATGTCTGCTCAAGAAGCATCGTGGTATTTGTTACGTCAGCCGATGTCGGAAGCAAGCCGAGCGACGCAGTTCATTCCAACGATGTGGCCGCACGAGCGAATTAAGTCCAGAAAACGAAATCAGCGAATGGACGACGAAAGCATCAGTGACGATTCGACTTATGTATGGACTTTGAATATCATACAGAAGTATGAAGCTCGTAACGACCTGGAAGATCTGTGTCTAGCCGATTTCGCAGCCCTCTACCAGCAGCAACGCAGCAGCAACTCTTACAGGGCTCGGAAATTTCACCGAGTGTTGCAATGGTGTAGCTATGACATGTCGAAGCTTTCGGACTACAAGCGTGAAATGGTACTCCTCTTCGTCCCGTTTCGCAATGAGCTGTGTGATATTCTCGACCAAAACAAGTTCCTGCAGCTATACGATCAGCACGAACAGGCAATCCTTGCGAAACGTAAAGAGTACGACTGTGATCTGAACCTGGAGCAGATAATCGATGAGTACCTGAGGGTAAGCGTTGAGGAAACTCCAGATGCACAGGAGGCGGTAGCAACAGAAAAGGGTGATGAATGTACCAGAGCCATCGTGATGGAACCCAACGATGATGACATCCGCTTACTACCCACGAACGCTCTATCTGCCGTCATAAAACAGCGGACGACCGTTATGAGCAAGCAGGATTACTGTGCTCTGGTTCGCAAAACGAATGCTGAACAGAGAGCTCTTGTACTGCAAGTAATCGACAACCTGCATTGTTTTGATGACAGCAGAAAACCTCTCCAGTTGTTCTTTACCGGGCCGGCTGGATGCGGTAAAACGTTTACGCTCCATGTCCTGATGGAGACATATAATCGCTTTAGCCAGCAACATAATGCACTTAATAACGCCTATGTCGCCTGCGCATCGACAGGAAAGGCTGCCGTGGCTATCGGGGGAACAACTGTCCATTCGGCGTTCCACATAACCATGGATCGAAGACACCATGGGCAACTCCGGTTCGAACTCCTGCAGCTGTATCGACAATCGTTTGCCAACATCAAGCTAATAATAATCGATGAAATTAGCATGATCGGAGCAAACATTTTCAATACAATCCACACGCGGCTTCAAAGCATCACCGGTGATTACGATCTTCCGTTCGGCGGAAAAGACGTAATCATGTGTGGCGATTTCCGACAGCTTCCTCCGGTGAATGCGAGACCCGCTTTTAAGTCCGCGAACAACTCCATCGGTGGTGTAGCACTATGGCAAACGCTGGATTACTTCCCTTTGCGCCAAGTGATGCGACAAACCGATGTTGAGTTTTCCTCCATTCTAACAAAGATCGGAAATGGTGAGCGGTTGTCGGATTGTGAGACCAAGCTGGTAGAAAGCAGGTTCCGGACAGTCGAATGGTGCATGGAGAATGTTCCGAACGCAATACGATTATACCATCGCAATAACGCTGTTGAAGCGTATAATCATGGTGCCTTGAGCAACCGTGATGGATGGGATTGCACTGCCGAGGATGTAATCAGCGGATACCAAGACGCTGCTCAGCTAACCAGTGCTCGTACCAAACTACACAAAATGAGTGTCGCTGAAACAGGTTGTCTTCCATACCTTCTACGATTGGTTGTTGGAATGTCATACATGATAACGACCAACGTAGAAGTAGAGGACGGTCTCGTCAATGGAGCAATCGGCGAACTCAGGTACATTGAGCACACCGATGATGGCCCCCAGCAGTCTGCGTGTCGCTTGTGGTTCAAATTTGATAACGACGCTGTTGGTGCGAAACTTCGGGTGAAATCCAGGCCGCTTGTATTTTCAAAACCTGGCGTACTGCAACAAGACTGGACACCGATCTACAAGCGATCGGTCAACGTCAAGCTAAGCAGTGTAATCAAATGCAAGCGAATACAATTTCCCATCGTTAGTGCCTGTGCGTTGACAATTCACAAGTCACAAGGAGCTACTTTCGCGGAAATTGTTATCGATTATGACAAGAGCCAGGAGCAGCAGTTGGTATACGTCGCCATGTCACGTGTGAGTTCAGTGCAGGGGCTCTACATGACAAACTCCGCCAATTCATTCGTGTTTCATCACGGTAAGGGCAGCAACACCCCCAAGATGAAGGAACTCCGTGACGAGATGCAACGGTTAGAAAACCACAAATTGTTGACGCTCAGTGACGAGTTGATCGCGTTCTTCGATAACGCTGATCACTCTGTTATACTGATGACCCTGAACATCCAGAGCCTGAATGCGCATTCCAAGGACCTGTCGACTGACCATGTCATGACCAGAGCCGATTTCTTGGCGCTGAGTGAGACTTGGATGGACGACAATGAGTCTTCGGAAATATCAGGTAAATGAATTCTTTCAATTGTTTGACTTTATATAATTCTGCTTATTTTTTCTAGGTTACATATGCATAGCGAAATTCAAGCGAGAAAATGTGAGGGCAGGAGGCGTGGCCATTTACGAGAAGGCATCAATTTCACCAGTATCAACGTCGCACACGATTGTTCAGCTGGGTGAACGACATGATCCCATTTTCGTTGAAGCCGCAAACTATGGAGATATTTGCGCTGCGGAAATTCAAGTTGATGGGTGCAAAATGGTACTATTCAGCGTGTACGTTTCACCGAACACACCGATCAAGCTCGCCAAAGCGTTCATGGCTAGAAGCCTGACCCTCTACAAACATTTTCCAACTCCAATCATTGTAGCTGGGGACTTCAATATCGACGTCTCTAAGGCGGAGAACATCGAATTCATCGAGTTCATGGCAAACCTGTTGGATTTGAACTTGGTCTCGGATTCCCAGCAATCAACCACGTTGAAGGGCTCGTGTATAGATATGGTGTTTGCAAGGGATACTGCTCCACTTGCAACGAAAAGATACATCACGTACTTTTCGTACCATCGGCCGTTGTTCACATTGTTGTCTGCTGCAAATTAGTGAGACACGTCACACAAACGGGTTACATTTGCCAGTTGAGGGTTTCGGTCTTCCTCCGGTTAAGCTCTGTATTGTTCTGAAAATATCAATACGAGCATCACGTTGCCTTTGCCCGTTGAGTCTCTCGACGTTTCCTCCGCTTTAAACGAGCCCCTTCACAAGCAACAAAACGCCACACGTCTCTAAGGCAGAGAACATCAAATTCATCGAGTTCATTGCAAACCTGTTGAACTTGAACTTGGTCTCGGATTCCCAGCAACCAACCACGTTGAAGGGCTCGTGTATAGATATGGTGTTTGCAAAGGATACTGCTCCACTTACACAGAAAAGATATATCACGTACTTTTCGTACCATCGGTACCACTAATTTTCACACAGTCGGGTCACCTTTGCCGGTTGAGGGTTTCGGCCTTCCTCCGGTTAAGCTCTGTCTTGTTCTGAAAATATCAATACGAGCATCCTGTTGCCTTTGCCTGTTGAGTCTCTCGACGTTTCCTCCGGTACAAACGAGCCCCTTCACAAACAACAAAACGCCACATAGCTCTACTTCCTGCAGTCGCCAGCCAACCGCCTCTTCACAACCAACAAGCCGTGCTCTACTTTCTGCAATTATTTTTAATCATCAAGTAACCATAGGTAAACACTAAACCTCAATGACATTTTAGAAAATCTGATGCATTTTTATTTTCACTCATCTAGTCACAACCAACAAAGCAACGTCCCCTGTGTGGAAATAGAAACATCGCGACGATCAGCAAAATTAACAAAGCTTCTAATCCTGAAGCAACCGGGCCGAGACTTTTCCGAGTGCCCATTTGTCGTAGCGAAGTTGAGGTATCCTTCGCTGCGCCCTTGCAACCCGTCACAGCCACCGTGTCAATCCGTGTCCAGCAGCAGCCAGGCCAAGATTCTTCCAAGTGCTAATTCATCGTAGCACCTCACAACCAACAAACCGTGCCCCTACTTTCTGCAATAATTTTTATTTAATCATCAATTAACCATAGGTAAACACTAAACCTCAATGACATTTTCGAAAATCTCTGATGTATTTTTCATTTTCACTCATCTAGTCACATAACCAACAACCTTTGTGTGGAAGTAGAACCATCGTGACGATCAGCAAGAGGGACCAGCAAAACAGTAGCAACTAAGCTTCTAATCCTGAAGCAACCGGCCGAGACTCTTCTGAGTGCCCATTTCTCGTAGCGAAGTTGAGGTATCCTTCACTGCGTCCTTCCAACCCGTCGCAGCCACCTAGTCAACCCGTGTCCAGCAGCAGCCGCGCCGAGACTCTTCCGAATGTCCATTCATCGTATCGAGGTTGAGGTTTCCTTCGCTGCGGCCATCATCATCATCTTGCAAAGGCTTTAAGCCTGTACTACCATCGGCCCTTTTCAGGGCCACCAACATTTTCCAAAAGAGTTAATTTTCTGCACATGTCCCAACTAAAATTCATATCAAAAGATTTTTTTCAGGGCAATCATAGTCATACTAAAGAGTATAAACAGAAAGAACCCCGCTAAAATTCCTATTCCTACATAAAACACAAGCTCCTGCTGCAGTTAACAAAAACATATATTATATCATACCACGTAGTCCTACGTCATCATTGCGTACAACCCCATTGGGCTGTCCCTTGTAGTTTTTTCTTAGCGTGTGTGTTTCGTCAAAACACGGTCGTACAAGAACCTTGCACGCTTTTTGGCCACGGAATTCTGCTTCATGTGCCGGTTCGGATTTTTACTGGCTTTGTACGACTTGTATCCTTCCCTGGCAAGGATGTTCCGCACCGTTTGAAAGTTGTCGTTGTACCTTCTGGCCACATCTAGGATCGAAAGACCGGGGTTGGCTTTAACGCACCTCAAGTGTACCGCCTCATGACAGTATTCCAACGGCTGTCACTTTCTTTTCCCTACGACAGCCTTGAGATTGAGCTATAAGCGACAGCCCACAGTGAGGCTGTTATACGACATGCAACGTTGCCGTCTTGTGCAGTACACGACAGCTCGTTCTCAGTCATGTATTTTGTTCGTTCGGCTATGACAGCCTCGGATGGTTATTCGTAACGTTCCTCGTACATACAACAAGCAGTCCGTCGAACTGCCGATTCGTTGCTGCTGTCTTTGAAATTTTGTTTGTGTGTCGTAAGACTGCTACTACACTACCAGTGTGGCGCCGGAGCTCGTTCGGTGTTGCTATCACGTTCGTGCTGCCCATTGCAAAATTTTCATCCGATATTTTTTTTAAAACGCGCGGTCTCCGGCGAAAAATATAAGCCTACCCGACACCAACCTGACTTCTACCAAACCCCAACCCGATGTTGACCCGACATTGACCCGACATAAACGCAAAATTGACCCGACATCGACCCGACATTTGGCCGACGTCAACCATAAATTGACCTTACATTGATCCGACATCGGGCCGACATATCTGTTCGGGATCATTCTTCTGGGTTTCTTCCATACTCCACTGCCGTATATCAATTGTATATAATGTCTCGTGACAGCCTTTTCGTGACAGCCACTTGGGTAAGCTGAGGGATGTCGTCGATTTGTGAAGGCTGTTATGACGACAGAAACATTGAGAACCTGGTCATAAAGAATTGTATAAATACAGCCCATTCGGTTCACTACGTTCCAAGCACGATGATTTTAGCAAAGCGGGTATAGATGCGACTGTTCTAATACAACTTTCATTCGTTCGTGCGTGCGCTGTTGCCAATACACTTCGAATTCAGATCTGAACGTACGGTAGCAAGCGGCAGTAAAGCACACAAAGCAACAGTCAATTCAGGTATAAACTAACTGTCGCGAGGAGGCTGTACTATTTGGAAGCCTGACCTCAACACCTTGCTGCGCAGCTGGCGATCCCTGGTTCCAGTTTTTTCGTAAGTCCGCTGATTCCTTTCCACACTCAGGGTTTTGATTCATTTCCTTGTAGGTTTTGAGCACTCGACATTCTGTTGTTTTCGGCATCTTCAGCTCTGTAGCCAGCTTGAAACCGGACCACTTCGGATTTTCCAGGTGCTTGTGCACAAAATTGTTCCATTTGACGTTTTTTTTTTTATGAAGGCGATCGACTACTTCGATCAAACTTGCACCAGTTGTTCTCTATAGAAGTGTAAACAAACCACTGTCAAAGATTTTCGCTTCCCTACATTAGAGGCGTGCTAGCGGCTTGCGAGGGGCGTACCAATTTACTTTTAGTCAGTCCCATCTGCATTTTTATCAATTTTAAGTTAGTATCATTATTCAGTTTATCTTTCTATGTTCTTTGAGATGTGCTATTGAAAAAAGTTGGTTTGTTCCAAAAAAAATGTTAAACAATACCAAGTCAAATTGCCCCACAGCGAAAAGTAACCGCAAGTCAGTCCCATTAGAAAAAAAAAGGATTTTATTAAATCTATATGGGGTAAATGTCGGCTTCGGCACCCATTGACTGTTTTCGGCAACCAAAATTTAAACGTTAATTTCACTATGTTTTCCCATCAACACACTTCCCTGAATGCATCCAAACGATTCTTTAGTCTTTCAGCTTCAATCTGATTGTATGTGTACGTCTGAGCAGTCCTGTTATGGCAGATTTTTCTTCAAATGAAGCATACGTACTCTAAAATGAGGTTGATTTCAAGTTGCCGATAATAGAACAGCTGGTTAACACGCAGTTCTAATGGGAAGGTTGCCGAAGAAAACGAGGCTGCCGACAATAGTCACACTCACCTGAGAAGTTTGGAGCGTTGTAAAAACGCTTTCAAACAGTTTTGAAGAATTCTGTCGATTAAAATGGATAGAGAATCAAGCAGCAGATGAATGTAAACCAACAGACACGTCATATATGTGCGTGACGCTGAGAAAATGCTAATAGAAGTGTGGACACTGCTTAGATTGACGAGAATACGTAAATTCCCCTGTATAAAAATGAATTTCTGTCTGTCTGACCCTTATTGACTCTGAAACTACTGAACCGATCGGTGTGAAAATTTGTGTGCTGGGGTTTTTGGGGCAGGGAATGGTTCTTATGATTGTTTGAAACCCCTCCCCCTCTTTAAGGGGGGGCTCCCATACAAATGAAACAGAAAATTCTGCATAACTCGAGAACTAATCAAGCAAATGCAACCAAATTTGGCATGTGGTGGTCATAGGGGTAGCCCCTTAGGGAAGATGGGGGGTGGGGGCTACGTACAATACAGCATATATTTTTTTTTAAATTGGCGCATAAACTCAAGCTAATATTGAATCCCGAGCAAGGGCGGGCATACTCAGCTAGTAAACTATAAAACAACGTCACAGATATGTTTTTAGGATTGCTTCTATAGAATTGAAATTGTTAGACAACACATCGCATCATGAGATTTGTCTCAAGACAGATTTTGTCCACGTCGGGTATCTAGAACATGGTCGGATGTGGCCAATATATAGTAGTTCTTACGATACTCAGTTTGACCGCCAATGGATATGGCTTTGAATTCTCATGTGATTTGATGTATCGCTTGATAGATTTTGATTTAAAAAGGATTTACCACTTCTCCGGGAATGCCCGGAACATGTCCGGATGTGGCTAACATGGTGCTGGTCACTCATCATGACTCTTATTCATCTTATTTTTGAATGCTCATGTGAATTGATTTATCGCATGGTGGGTTTGGCACGTTTGGCTCTGGTCTGATGAAGACCCATACTCACCGGAATATGTTCCGGCCATTGCTATGGAACCAGCGGAACAAATCCAGAAACATACAATAAAGTTCTATGGGACCAGGGTATCTTTCTGCTATTCAATACTGTGCTAAACTTATGCAGCATCGTCATGGAATTGTGACTTACTTGCAGTTATTTTTTCTCTTGGACGTTAAATGTAATCGCAAGTCAGTCCCACTCAGATGTTGGC